CTCTCTCTATCTATATATATATATATTATATTTATATGTTTATCTAGTGATCTATCTTATTTCTCCTTTTTGTGCGCATGTATCTTAAAGGGATATTCAATAAATTTTCTTAGATATATCTATGAGAGGCTGCAATGCATGCACAAGCAAGGATGGTTATTGCTCTCATTTTAATTGTTTTTTTCTTCTGCTAACTTGCGCTACAGTAGCCTAAGGAGAACAAGTGGTGCATAAATATGATGTTATATTGGAATAGTTTTAAGATTAGGAAATATCTATGCAATTATTATTATTGTTATTTAGTATCTTTAGTTTATTTAGCTTATTTAAGTAAGCTAAATTTTGCTAGGAATTAAAACTTTTGATTTCCTTTTTATTATTGCAATATTTTTGTATTAGTTGTCAGAAGTGTGATGCAGAACAAGAACATCCCAATTTAGAATAAATTTTCTGCCGAAGAAATTTCTTTTAATTATTTTATTTTGTATTTTTTTAAACTATTTGTTATTTAGGTTTGTTTGAGCGCTATAATATTTTAGTTTTCTTCTTGATATATTCTAAATATTATAAGAATCAGAATACTTAAAATTTCCTCTTTTATAATTTTTCTTATTACTTGTAGCTAATGCCTATAGAAAGGCTAAGACTAGTAACTATCAGCAGATGTTGGTTAAGAATTTCTTTGTTAAGGTTTTACTCCCTGTTATATCTATGTATTCATTCTTCTAGTTCTTATTTTGTCTAACTTATCTCATTGGTCTATTTATCCCTATATATATTTTTTTTCTCTTTGATTCTTAATTTACTTTTACCTATTTTTATTCTTCTGTTTATCACAAAATTTCTTTGCTTCAAAATTGTTCGTAGGACAAGTTAGTCTAACCGATACTCGTCTTATATCAGTTAATATCACAGCCTAGTTGCTATTTTCGCTTTCTATCAAATGTCTACTAGAAAAAAAAAAGAAAAAATTTAGATTCCTCCATCCTGCCCAAAAACACTTGTCCTTGATCCCAAAAAAAATCCATCCCCAAGAAAGAAAAGAAACCATAAAAAATCTGTTTTAGGTTGGTAAAGTTTCATTGTCGTATCGCCTGCATTGTGGTGTGGGCGAGAGACCCTTGTCCAGGTTATTTGATACATTCAGCATTTTTGGGTTTCTCCCCCTTCCCTTGAGTATTCTATTACTTTCTTCGCTAGAGGAGTCAAGGTGAAGGAGGTTAGGTTGCTACCAAAAGCTCCTTTTGCAGAGTTATCAGGTATTATGATTGCAGAGAAATACTAGAATAAAATTTCTAAGAATCCTTTACCTTGTTCCTTCTTTGGGACATAACGACCTTTTCGGCTTCTTTTGGCTTAAGGCTCATGGCTATTTTACAACTTCAATGTATTGATTTTCATGTTGCTTTTTTATTTCTATTTTTTTTTCTATTTTTGCCATTAGGAGGATCTCTTATGTCCTGCTAACATACTTTTTCCTTTTCTCAATGTTTTCATCCTGTTACATTGAAGTTGCTATATTAAAGCTTATGTTCCTAGTTATGCTGCTTGTTCATGAGAAATCTAAACTTTTTTTTGTTTGATATTCTTCTTGATTAGATGAAAAGAAAAGAAGTTGGAATTGGTAAGATATATGATGCCCGTGCATTGAGGGTGGTTGTTGGAGATAAGAATGGAACTCTACATGGACCCGCGATACAATGTTGCTACAATCTTCTCAACATTGTGCATAGGTAAATTGATTCATTACAGTTTTATATTTATATTAAGCTATTGTATTGTACTTTTTATATGAAACTCTCTCTTCTTAACCAAAATATTCATGTAGTTTCTCCTAGGTAAAGATCATATTCTTTGAGAGAGACTCGAGAAATTGTTAGAAACCCAGCCTTGACATATACTTTACTGGGACTTTGAACAGTAAAAAAATTTAAATTAAATTCATGAGAAAATTTAAAAATGAGAAAGAAATCTGGAGAGGGAAAAAATATAGTTGAGACTAAGAGAGAAAGGATTTAGAGAGAGAAAAGCAGAGAGAGAAAGAGTGTTAAAGAGAGAGATCGGGAGAAAGAATAAAAGAGAGAGAGAGAGAGAGAGATCTCGGAAGAGAGTAAGTAACAAAGAGAGAGGAAAAGAGAGAGACCAAGAGTTTAGAGAGAGAAGAGGCTAAGAGAGGAAGAACACAGATCCAGAAGATAGATTTGTGAGATTAACTTCAATATATTACATGATTGATTTCCTTTTACAATTCACTATTTATATACATGAAATGGTACATGAATCTTCTTTTAATCTGTTAATCATCATCACGGAAGTTAACGTTCAGAGGGGATGCTTTCCGTTTGGGCGCATCAAGTGGAGAGAGAATGTCACAGCCACCTCTCTCTTATAGGGCGTGTCCGGAGCACACTACACTTTACATTTAGTTAAATAAAACATAACAAGCTTTCATTAATAGAAAAGTACAGAATCGTTACGTCCCTTAATATATGTACATTAGATACATGCAAAATGAAGCTTTAAAATTTTTTTTTTCTTACATTACAAAGGAAAAGTAAGTAGTAACCTGAGTTCTTATAAAGTCTAACTTGCAAAAGACTTCTCTACTATTACTACTTACTTCTCAGCGGTCTCTGTAGGGTTTGAAAATGATGAGAGAGTGAGATACACTATCCCAATAAACATATATCATGATACATAGCATAATACATGCAATATATAAAGTTTTCACATACATCAAAATATATATCTTATATATTTGTAAATAATAGATAACAGATAACTAAATTATCACATTTCCTTGTTACATTATACAACGAGCTATACTACATCACCGTTATGGAGGGTCGTTCACATCTTCCTACTGCCATGCATGCATAGGCGCACACTTAACACTTAATACTTAACACATTCCCATATACCCGAAAACGGAACGGTTATGCATAGGCACAAAAGCCTAACATCATACAGGTGCTTTCGGAACGGCTTACCTCAATAACGATCAATGCACACTTATTAAAATCATTTTCTAAAACATATGGGTAAAATAACACTTAAGACACAATAGCACTTTCACAAACGTTTGCACTTTACATATGAAAGTATGTATAAAACACTGATGAAAATACTTGAAAATTTTGCATGCTATACGATCACAATATCCACTTACCTTGGGTCCTATGCAACCTTGATTTGGGCAGAGTCTCCTCTTACACAAGCTCTAATCAGTCTACTCAATCCGGCAAAGTTTTCCCTTATAAAACTTTTAAATTTCTCGATAGATGCGGGTAGAGTCTCCCCTTATGAAAACCTTAATTTTCTGTTTTCAAATGGGCAAAGTCTCTCTTTAGTTTATCTCAATTTTCTACCAAAATTTTTGACAAAGTCTCCCTTTAGAAATATTGATAATTTTTAGTTCAAAAATAATCTCTTCATATGAAAATTACATTTCTAAGAAAAAAGAGGTTTAAACAGGGTTACCTTAATTCCGGCAGAGTTCTGACTTAATTTGGAGCATTTTTTTCCCAAAATTTCGGCAGAGTTTCGGGATGTTTTTGAATTATTTCTAACCTCAAAATTTTAATAGAAACGAAATACAATTGATGGAGAGAACTTACCTTAATCTCATAGGTTCTCTTATGCTGGTTATGAGCTTTCTTCCCCTTTTTATCTCTTTCCTTTTGGTTTCTTCCTTTCTCTCTCTTCTTCCCACAATTTGGGTAGAGTTTCCTCGAGGAAAAACTCCCAAATTCCTTTAAATTCTCTCACTTCTCTTAGGTAGGCACTCCTTTTTTTTCTCTCTTTTCTTCTACTCTCTCTCTCTCTCTCTCTCTCTTCTTTCTCTTTCTAACTTTGCTCTTCTTCACTCCAGAATGCATTTCCCATCTCCCCACCCCTATTTATAGGGGAGGGAAGCCCAAAGGGTCGGCCAAGTGGGGGGGTTGCCACCTCAATTCCTCAAGCTTATCCATTTCTCTCTTTTCCCCTCTTCCTTCACCCTTAAGTAATTCTAGAGTATTCTATCCTTGTCCAAACGCCACACACATCCTTATCCTTGCAGGAGCTTCCATACTAGATTTGGACCCTATTGAAGTTGTTTTGGACCGCCTTAGGCGCACCTACACCCATAAGGCCCAAAATTGCACTTCATGCACATGCCTTCACTTCAAAACTCTATAGCTTGCTTAGTTCTTAATCTTTTTGGGCAAGCTTATGCTTCGTGTGTTCCTCAAGAAGGCAGCTATCACATGGTTTTTGTTTGGGCTTCATTCGAGTCCATTTGGCCCACTTATGGCCCAATAAAGCCCAAAAGGTCAAAACTGTCTTCCATGTACATGCCTCTCGGGTTTGGCCTCATTTCTCCCAAATTTTCTTTTATGGACATTTTTCTTTTTCCACACACTTCTTCTTAAATAGCTTGGCTATTCCTCAATTAAATTTGAGCCTCAAACTCCGTGTAGTTTGGTTTCGGCATACAAATCAACCCAAAAAGGGTCAATTAGGACTTCTTAGGGAATTTCCTCCCTCACATGAGGGATTTCTCTCTCGATTTTTTACCCGACCATTTTATTTTGTTCCCAAAGTATTTTCTTGCCTTATATGATATTGTTCTAGTATTGAGAAGCATTTCTGGGTCTAGAAAACTCAGTTTCTTCTATTGAGAGAAAAATCTTCTTAAGGGATTTTGGCTCTCTGAATTTCATTGTTTTCATTCTGTTTGACTGGAAACTATGATATGTAACATAAATTATGATTCCAATCACATGCACACATACAATCATACCTATCATATAGTCAAGACAAGCTTAGGGGAGAGTCGGGTTATCACAGAGAAAGATGAAGAGTCGGTCCGATTTACCGTGTGAAGAAAAAAGTTTACCAGTTAGAAACTGGTTCAATGCCTAGAGTCCTAGGGTTTTAAATACCTTCTCTTTGATCATGACATGTGCCCTTCTAGTTTTTTCAAATTCTGCCACGTATCCTTATTACTTTTTGGAGGGAGAATTGCGCAGCCGACTTAAAAACCCTTATGGGTTTTGCTTCCCTACGGATGCTTCCACCATTTTCCTCATGCACCCTTCGTGGTTTCCTATTCTCTAGCTCATTTTATTGCATGTGCAACCCGTTCACAACAGTATTATCCCCATGAGCGTCAATATTATCCCTAGAATTGAGAGTGAGCTTCCAAATATTTGGTGCCAATTATTTTTGTACTGTGCTACTTGAAGAATCCCTTGCTATGTTTTGCAGTGATAGAGTCGAGAAACTTTTGCATTATCTTGTTGCTCTTCCTTTGGAGGTTGATCCTCTTCACCTTCTCCATCTTTTTTTTCACACGTCTCCACTATTATCGTTATTTTCTCTTTAAGTTGATGTTCTAGAAAGTATTTTTTTCTGCATCTATAGCAAAAATTGCTTTTCCTTATTTTTGAATGATTTGGACCCTTAGGGGTGATATTTTTTAGAAATTTTGAATTTTGGAGAAATTTTTAGTGATGAGAACACTTCATTTGGAAAACGTTGTACAATGCTTTGGTTTATTGTGACGGTTGATGATATCTACAGTTTGCTCTCGCCACAAAGTCAATTCAAATGCTTGAGACAAGGTGCGGCCTATACATCCTCATCGCTGGTGTAAGTTCCTTATTTATACCACTTATAAAGTTAGAGATAAAATATTTTTTCTAAAGTTCGGGGTTTTCAGTTAATAATAAAGACCTCATTTTTTCAAAATTTTCTTCATATTGGAGGACGTTATTTTCTTGGATCAGTTTATTAAATTCCTCGACAATATTAACTCCAGCTAATCCTCCAAACCTTCTAAACAGTTTTACCTCTAATATTTCCTGTTCAAATATATTAGGGTCATTTGCAAACCTATATAACTAAATTTTATCCTATCTTTAAGATACATTGAAACTGTTTCCACTTTATTTTTGCTTGAAATGTTGAAAATATAAAAATATTTGTTGCATATTCTAATCCATGTTTTAGGATATTTTTTCTTCAAAGATAGGAATTTCAATTTTCGGGATTAAGTTTCTTGGTTGGTTACCTCTCTAGTCTGAACTGCCAACCCCTATTTCTTTGGTTTTAGGGTTCGTAAAATTCCTTTATCAATATTTAAAACAGCGACAGAGGGGCTTACCCTTGCAGTTGTTTCACTTATCTATGTGCTGCCTTGTAAGAGTTCAACGAGTCTTTCTAATTGCTAGCCAGACATAGTCAATCTTTGGTCTACAATGGCTTGGGTTTGCTGTTGAGATTCATACATTTTAGATCTAAAACCTGAGAGTTTTTGTCCACCTCATGCATATTTTCCTCCAAAGTGGGCATCTTTTGAGGTTTAGAGACTGTGGCTTTACTCTTATTTATCACCATAGCCATGAAACTTGTAAAAGTTTTTTCAAAATTGACCTTCTTTGATATTAAGTTATTAGGAGCTGACCTTGACATATACTTCACTGGGAATTTGAACTATAAAAGAATTTAAATTAAATAAGGAAATAAAAAAATGAGAAAGAAGTTTGGAGAGAAAAAATATAGTTGAGACCGAGAGAGGACTTAGAGAGAGAAAAGTTGAGAGAGAAAGAGAATTAGAGAGAGAGACTCGGGAGAGAGAATAATATAGAGAGACAGAAAGAGATCTCGGAGGAGAGAAAGTAATAGAGAGAGAAAAAGAGAGAGATCCAAAGTTTAGAGAGAGAAGAGCCTGAGAGAGGAAGAACACAGAGATGTAAAAGATAGATTTGTGAGATTATCTTCAATACATTACATGATTGATTTTCTTACATTACATGATTGATTTTCTTTTACAATCCATTATTTATATACATGAAATGGTACATGAATCTTCCTTTCAATCCGTTAATCATTGATGTGGAAGCCAATGTTTAGTAGGGATCCTTTCTATTGGACACGTCAAGTGGAGAGAGAAAGATAAGAGGTGGGCCGGTTCACTGCGTGAAGAAAAAATGGTTCAGCTGTTCAGACACTGGTTCGGTGCCTAGGGTTTTAGGGTTTTAGATATCCCCTCTTCGATTGTGACACGTGTCCCTCCAATTTTCTCATATTCTGCCATGTGTCCTTAATACTTTCGAGAGGGAGAATTGCAGGGCCGACTTAAAAACCCTTATGGGTTTTGCTTCCCTGCGGACGCTTACACTGTTTTCTCGTGCACCCTTCGCAATTTCCTGTTCTCCAGCTCATTTTCTTGCATGTGCAATCTGTTCACAATAATACCCTCCCCTTGAGCATCAACCTTATCCCCAAGGTTGAGATTCAACTTCCTTATATTTAGTGGCAATTTTTTTTTTTGTTAACTCTGCTACCCGATGGTATGTTTTGCAGCGACAGGGTCAAGGATCTTTTATATTGTTTTGTTGCTCTTCCTTCAGAAATTGATCCTCTTCACCTTCTCATTTCTCTTCTTCACATGTCTCTACTGCTATGAATATTTCCTCTTTACATTGATGCCTCGAAAAGTATTTTTCCCCGCATCAAAGAAGGAAGAAGAAAGTAGGAGTTTAATTGTGTTTAATTATTTAGTAGATTTGTAAATGATGTATTAGGATTGATATGTAATTGTTCATGTATAAAGCATGCACCACCTTCCGTAGTTGGTACTTATATAGAAATAAGGCAGAATAAGTCAATATTAGAATAAGAGGGTAGTCAATATAATTCTGTAAGTAACTTCCAGGATAACTAACACCTTATTGTAATAAAGGCCTCTGTCTTTTGAGGCAGATTTATGCATGAATAAATTTCTGAGTAAGTTTGAGTATTTTCTTGTTCAAGAGATTATAAGGTTCTCTCCTAATGAGTTCTTAAACTAAATTCCAGAATAGGTAAAGGAAGAAAAACTCAAGAATATCCCCAAGGTCTTACTGATTTGTATGCTCGTAAACCCATAACAATATCCATCAGTGGGGACCATAACAAATGTTACTCCCTCTGGTACTTCTAGATATATTATTGGTATTAGAAATCCTATAAATAAAAGGGTGTGACCTTATTGTTAAGCAGACTGCTTATGGAGAGAAGTTGACATATATTTTCTTATTGACTGTCCTTGCACTCTATGATTGTGCTTGAAATATGATTATGGTTGTGCCTTCGTTTAAGGGATTGTGGATTGGATATTTTCTTTTTCTCTTTTTCTGCTTCTTCTATGTTCTATTCTCTTTTGCTGCATCATTGTTCCTCTATTCCTTACCTACATTTGTATCTTCAACCAAGCAGAGATAATATTTGTATAATTTTGTTTCTAGCTGTTGCAATTCATCTTGCAAATCAGAGAAAGAGATACAAATCAGAATAAAGAATGAAATTTTTGGTATACTTTACAGTTTTACTTTTACATGTTTATGACCATTTACATGGTTTCTAAAAGGAAACTATGGATATACAATCACTATCTGTTTTATACAAAAATTGAGGTGCAACAATATTTTGATTTGGGAGAGATTTTTATCAGTTGAAATTGTAATGAATTTTTGTTTTGGAGTTCTCCTCAATCTTAATAATACTTCTTTTTTAATAAAAAAATTATCTCATTGAATAGATTAATACTGAATCCCTTTTTCTTTGACAAAATTTTCCAAACATTCATTACATTTTCTTTCATTTTTAGAATGAAAAAAAAAATTCTTTGTTTAAAATTAGTTTTCAAGCATATAAAATTTTCCAAACATCATATATGATCATCTATAAAGGTTACAAACCATCTTTATTTCACTATAGGTTGTCATTTTTGAAAGATCCCAAACATCACAGAAAATTAAAGAGAGAGTACTTGACTTACAATAAGATTTAGATGTGTAAGTATTGAGATGGCTTTTTCCTGATGAACAACTTTCACTTTGAAACAGTGAGCAATTTAAATTCTTGAAAAAGTTGGAATAAGATATTTAGAATATGAAAAGCTAGGATGTCCTATTATGAGATGCTAAAGCATTATTTCTTCATGAATAGAAATTAAACTAATATCACAAAGCCTTAGCTGGTTTATTACTTGATAAGTGCCTGTTGTCCAAACTTCTGTTACTGCTTCTTCTCTAAAAAAAGGAAGTCTAAGCAAACAATAAAAACAAAAGTGCTTTTAGGTAAAAGCATAAATTATTTTTTGCTTTTGATAAAGATGACATCTAAACCTATAAATACTTTTGAGAATCCTTTGTATATGGGCGGTACCTTGTTAATATATATTTTACACTTTTTATTTCAAAAAATAAATACGTTTGAGAATGATTTATGCTTGAAATAGAGGCTTTGAAGAAATGGCTTGTGATGGAAGTGAATACTTTTGAACAATTGTTTGTGCTACAAAGAGATATTATTATATTCTCAATGAATATATTGTTTCATTTTATGTTCCATTAATTAATAAATTTAACATTTTTTTTAAATAAAAATATAATGTTATTTATTGTCAATAATTTTATATTTATTATAAATTATTAAGACAATATTTATTTTAAAACTTAATAATAATGATTTGAAATTAATATTTATTTTAAATAAAATAATTAAACTGAAACACATACTTTAAATTAATTTCACTTATTAGAATAATTTTTTAAAAGATAATATTATTAAATAACTATAATGATTAATTTTGTTGTTGTTTTTTCTAACTTCAATATGTGTTATTAATTTTACAACATAAATTTAGTACTACGTTTTATATTGAAAGGATCCCTTAGAGCAAATTTTACCAAATATTATATAAACTTTCCCCTTTAAAGTTGTGTTTGCTGAATTATTTTGAATTGCTTTTATCAGCTCATGGCACAAACACCAGTAAAGCCAAACAGATCCTAAGGTGTCATCATAGTAGTAAAGACCATCTCTCGTCCTAGCACTGCCAGTATCCTCACTGGATTTTTTCTTCACTAAATAGACAGTAAGGTTTAAGTAAAATAAAATGATAATTGGAATCTTCATTAAATTTACTCTTTGATAAAAGATTACGAGCTAGTTTAGGAACATGAAGGACAAATTTAAGATCTATATTCTTTGAGAGTTCAATTAGACCTTTTCCTGCTATTAGTGAGAACTGCCATCTGTAATTCTAATTTTTTTTCATTAGCAGGGCAAGAGAAAGATGTGCTAACAAGTAGGCAAAAGTGGTCATGTGTTCAGAAGCACCCAGTCTATGATTCACTAGGCTAAAATTGGAAAGCAAGATAAAGCATTAAGATTACTATTTGATTGTGCAGTAGAGACATTAGGAACACCAGATGATGAAATAGATTTTAGTAGCTTAAAAAGTTATCCATATGCTATTTACTAAGAGATTGGTTGAGTTGATTCAACCTCATTTTGCTGTCGGATATGCACAACCAAGTTTCTCATCGGGGCTTGGTTTGCTCCTTTTCCAGTTGGTTCGTTTGGCTTATATCTATCAATAGGTTTCCAGTGTATGATGAGGTTTGTTGCAATAATCATGGGATGAATATAGTTCTAGCTGTGGTAGTATTACTTGCAGTCAAAAGCTGAGTTTTCAAGTAACATTTGCACTCTTTGTCTTGCACATAGCATTTCTGTGGCTTTCCTTGCTTCGAACTTTTGAGAAGACTTTTCCTAGTGGTGGCAAGGGTTGCCTGCCAATGGTCCATCACTTCATCAAACTCAACTTTTTAGCCAACCAACAACTTGAAGATATTATTGTCTGCTGTAACCTTTTTGTAATGGTTGCATCTTAAGTTGATTTCCAGTTATAGTTATTTAATAGATACAGGTGTTGCCATCTTAAGTAGATATCCAGTTATAGTTATTTAATAGATACAGGTATTGCCATAGATATTTCAACATATTGAGATACTTGGTGACACTCTAATTGTCCTGTCTAATTTCGCCAAATTTCAAGGTTAATTATAGATCTTGATTATCTAAATCAGAATGTATTTGATTGACTTTTTCCCACTCTGGGATCGCACATGTAATTGGAACTAATTTCTTCTGCCATGAAATTCACAAGCCATGTCATCCATGGAGTTTCTGGTATCCCAGGCTGCATACACGCAATCCTCTTGTGCTGGCTCCTTCGTGTCGTCAGTTAAGTAGTCAATCTTGCCTCACCCTTAGATGTATCTGCTCACAGATTGTGAACTATGTAGGAAATTGTTTCCATTTAGCCGGATTCTCATCCTTTGGACTGAATTGGAATCAGAGTAGGTGTTCTTCAGTTCATTGATTGTGGAGAATGTTGTAATAGGTGCAGCCTCAAATATAATGTCAGACATGGTCTATTTTTCTCTTTTCTGTGTAGATGTGATGGTGGTTGTTGGAAGATAAGAGATCTTATATTTTTCATTCCAAAACCATTGCTACTCTTATATTCTATGAATTCAAGAACTTAAATTGAAAAGCTTTATATGATTTCCTCTTATAGGAAATATTGTTAAAAAACATGGAAACTAGAAACTAACTACAGCCTAATTTTGGCTTCATTTATTTGCCTAGAATATCAACAGTAACTAATTTCCCTAATATGCTGAAAATTAATTCCCAAATCTGCTGAAATTAAGACTGAAAATTAATTTCCAAGAGATTTGCTGGAAATGAATCCCCAAATCTATTGGAATTAATTTCCCTAATATGTTCAAACTGGTTACCAAATCTGCTAAAATTAATTCCCAAATCTCTCAACAGTAACTAAATAAAAAATAATTAACTTATTAGAAATATAATGATCATATGTTGCTATTAGAAAAGTATCCAGAGATGATCCTGCAATTTTCTTCTTGAATCTTAGATGGTCCTACATTAATTATCTTAAATAATTTTCCTTTGGGAATATTCTACATGATGATGTAGTTCTTTTTGTCGTACTGATTCTGACCTCATAATGAGTCATGTATCGGTTTTAACCTCATAGTGGTGCCATTTTGTTTACTTCTCTGCAGGCTCTGGACCCCTATTGATGGTGAATTTGATGATTACATTGTTAATCCAAAACTTAGTGGCTATCAGGTACTTATCTTGATTTAATATTAAATAAAAATTCTTTCAAGGGCCACATTGTCGTTTCTGAATCTTTATGTTGAGTTGGAAGGGAGCATATAAGCATCCTACATACGAAGATACACATCTGCACATGCATATGATCTTATGTTTGTAAATGCATCTGCACACTTGTCTCCAATACTCTCATTCAAATCATTTCATCTAGTTTTTTTTATTTAGTCATCTTGTTGGATTGATCTTTCTTTTCTGATTTCCTTTATGTTATAAACTTAGTTGGACAAATTATTACCTTTAGTACCTAAAGTATGGCATATATTGCAATTCTCTACCAATTTGATCTTTGAATTTATTGAATACGTAATTTTTTAATGAAATTTTTAATAAAAATAGCAAAAGTTTCTTTTCTCTTGCTTGAGTTTCATAAAAATTGATTTAAAGAATATTTATAACTAGAAATTGAAAAAAACTTGAAAAAGCCATCTCCCAAGCCTTTTCATTGTCCATTTCTCTAATTTAGTTACAAGTGGGAGATGGCACTGAAGTGATGTTTGGGGAAGATACCTGGTCAGAGGATCAACCTTTAGGTACCTCAACTCCCCCGATCATTTACTTTCAACTAGGGATTACACCCGTGTCTTGTTTTGTATCCATTGTGGATGGAAGAGTTGTCTGGAACTTCTATTTAACCTGTCAACTTCTAATAGGATGACTTCAAACATGCAATTTGATCCATATTTCACTTCACTTCAGCCTGATTCCAGAATTTGGTCCTTGGGGAGCCCTCATGCTTGTGCACTTGGAAGTCCTTTTTCAACAATCTCACAGAAAAACCCATCCCCAGCCATGTCTGTTGCCAAGGTACCTTGGAAAGGTCCAATGTCATTAAAGATAAAGGTTTTACAAACATGGGTAGTCATTATTGAAGGCTCAGCAATAATGAGATGTTATAAATCCAGCAGTCTCACCGATCCCTATGATCGGATATATGCAGTATTTGCTTCGAGAGAAACGAGACACATTCACATCTAACCCTACATTGTGAAACAAATTGGAAGTTTTGGACCAAAATGGAACATCTATTCGGTCTTAATGGATCACACTTCAAAGAGTGGAAAGTTTTATACGTTAATATATTTACAGGTTAGGGGTGAAGAAGGGAGCCAAACTCCTATACAAGGGGCAATCTTTTCAGGTCTGTGGATTATTTGACTTGAGATGAATTGTGGGACTTTTGACAACTGCCATGTGTCCTCTTAGAAGCTATGGGATAGGCACCTTTCTTAGCACCCGATGGACAAAGGCACATGAGAAATACACTGATAGACCCATCTCCAAGCTCCATTGGAATAGGGAGACAATCCTTTTCATCTCATAGGGTGTATCCATTTCTGTATTTCTGTGATTTTGATTTTTTAAGGAGGATATTTCATTCTCTTGATTTTTTTTCTCTTTTCTTTCTCTTGTTCATAAAGTTTTTCTTTTCTATATAAAAAGGCTAAAATGTAAATGTATAGATTTGATTTTGTGTACGAAAAGAGTTTCACCATCAAAACAAATTGTATTGAGATCTTTCCCAACACAGTTAAATCTAGGTGAAGCTTGAGCTTGATGTTTAGTTGCTAGTTAAGTCTTTAAGTCCTAAGGTTTTCCTTGAAACTGAACTTCCATTTTAGACCTAAAACGTTCCTTTACTAATTGCAGTCTCTGCACACTGCAGTACAAGGTCCTGACAGCTCACCTTTAGAAGTGCAAATAAGAACACAGGTGCAGAACTCTATCTACTGATTTCTCATTGTTGCAATTCTATTAGTGTGCATAATAGGTGATACCTCAACCATTTTATTTTTCTGCAGAAAATGCATGAGTATGCAGAGCATGGACTTGCAGCCCATTGGCTTTACAAAGAAACTGGCAGCAACATGCCTGCAATAAACAGTTTTGGTGAATCTGAAATAGAAGAATCCCCATATCTCTCTAAAGATGTGGAGGACCGTAATTCTATGGAGTATGATTTGTTTCTGAAGTATAATTCCTTGAAAGAAGGACACCCAGTCCTAAGAGTGGAAGGAAGCCACTTGCTTGCTGCAGTTATCGTCAGGTAAATGATAATTTCATTGCTAATATATATATTATGCATCATAAGCTTTTTCTTTCATATAGTGTATCGTAAGTTGCATTTTCAGAGTTGATAAAGATGGAAGAGAGTTGCTTGTTGCTGTGAGCTTTGGACTGGCTGCTTCTGAAGCCGTAGCTGAGAGAAGATCTTCTTTCCAAACAAAGAGATGGGAGGCTTATGCAAGGTTATACAAGAAGGTTCTGTTCTTCACTTCTAATCTTCATTACTCTGTCAATAAATCTGAGTATTATCCAAGAAAGTGATTTACTATTTCTGAAATTCTGTATTAGTGAACATCATTTCTTATTTTCGAAGCTTGGTAAACCAGGGGAAAGGACAAAAATGGGACTGTTTTCAGGCAGGATCTCTTGATGGCTTCTAAGTTCTGATATATACAATTAAATTATTAGATAGAGGTAAAAGAAGTAGAAAAACAAAGAACAAGACATCCTCCTAAGGAAACAAAAAGGCTGAAAGGGCTTCACATAAGTTATGATGGCGTGGTCAGTTGAAATTTATGGTTTGTGAGGCTACTTTTTGCAGTAGTTATGATGTTGGAACAAAAATTTATGATAATATTATGAATAAAGTCAGACTCTGTTACCAATTGATGCAGGACAAAAGAGAATGTGAGCAGAATACTTAGAGAAACTTTATTAAGAACCACAAAGTTGGAGATCTTGATCTCGATAATCAAATTAATAATTTGATATTTTGTATGATAACCATTTGAATTGTCTAGCAATAAACTTGGATATCTGATTTAATAAGTACCAAAAATACAGTCAAAATAGGATATCTTAAGTCTATGTAGGAATTCCACTAAATAGAAGATAGCTAATTAATTAAATGTTATAATAAAAAAGTAGAAAAATTAAGTCTTCTTATTTCTTTTAATGTAAAACTTCTTGATGTGTATATTTCTCTTTATTGGTTCTAGAGCAGTAGCTTGGTGGGAACGACCTTATTTGTTCTAATGCTTCTGGCTTGGCTTTGCAGGTTTCAGATGAGTGGTGGTGTGAGCCAGGACATGGGGACTGGTGTACTTGCCTTGAGAAGTATACATTGTGTCGAGATGGTATGTACCACAAGGTATGTTCATGCACTAAAGAAAAATACAGAACTTTTTCTTCCAATTTTAAATGTCAGATGTTTGAGGATGCAATGCTTGCTTTTTGCAATTTTGCACATAATAAATTGTAAAATAATCCACGATCTTGAAAGTTTATTATCAGAATCTTTTATGCTCATATACATATAGTCTGTACATAATATATTTGTTTAACTATCTTTAATATGTGTATCATGTAAAATTAAAAAATATTACTAGAAGGATCAGAAATAGTGCAAGAGAATAACATATCCTCCTCTAAAAGTAAGAAAGAAAAAATAGCAAATAAAAATCTTTAATACAAAAGTAAAATCCACTCCCTTTGTGAAGTTGATAAACCCCCCAAAACAAAGTGTTAATCCGAAGTGAAGCAAAGAAAACCAGTCTATCTCAAAGAAGCTTGGGGTGTGTGAAATGATTTTATAAAAGTTATCCCCCTTGTTTCCAGCTAGAAGACCCATAATTTAGAAAAGATATCCCTCTAAATAAAACTTTAGCTCATTATTTTTTCTCAAGCACTCATAACTTTGTAGATATAGAACTTTCAAGGGCAAGGGAACAAACACAAGAAACATCAACCATAGTAAATAGTATATCTATAGGTTTAAAGGCACTTTACAGTTAAAAATCAAATGCCTGTTAGACTTACGGTTCTACTAGCACGCGCAATAAGCATTCATAGATAGAGCTTGATTTAATCTGTGACCATGCAGCAAATTATTCACACTTATTTGGTTTAGACTTTGTTAAAGATAGAGTAAATTGAGTTAAAAGGTATAAGAGTAAATTATACTATTTTTAATTAATTGTAGTTATTATGTGTTTCTTTTTTCTTTCTAGAAAAACTATATATATATATGTTGTAATATTCAATAAAATACACATAAAGACTATTCTTAACATGGTATTAGAGATTAGATTAAAGAAACTCTAATCTCCATTACAAACCCTA